AGGGAAAATTTTTTATAAATACATATTATTAATAACAGTTATGAGATCATATAATTGTGAATGTATATATGAAATTGATAAAATAAAATAAATTAAAAAAATTAAAAAAAAATCATTAAAGAACCTGCAAATTGCAATTAGTTTTGCACACTCTTGATTATATCGGGGGTTTGTTTTACACTTAGTTCTGGTACTCTTTGTTGGAGCTTCAACCATTAGATTCCTATCTGGATTAGTGGTGGGATTCAACATTTTTTACTACCAATTATACTATAGTGGGTGTGGCTTGGTGGGCGTGGCAGAGGAAGGATACTGCAAAATCCCCATTCCCTTCTGATCAGCTGGGACTTGGAAGGCAGAGAATAGATGGGACTGGAACCAGTCACAGGTGATATTTATCGGTTCTCCAAACTACTCAAAATTTCTGCTACCAGTTCTCCAGAACTGGTCAGAACCTGCTGAATACCACCTCTGATCTAAATGTTGAGTCGTGGCAATTGGACTTCTTTGCTTTTTGGTTTGAAACTGTTTATCCAAGTAGCTTCTTCAGTAGATTCTTGCTTCAGATAAACAGGATAATGTTTTAAAAAAAGAGGTCCAGTTACCATGAATCAGCTCTACGTATGTACAAACAGTTCCAGACAAACTTTATCTGGATGAGTGAGAATCTTCATCGATGATTAGAGTTCTAGTGATGTTAATTATTTAATGCAGTGTTTCTCAACCTTGGCAACTTGAAGATGTCCGGACTTCAACTCCCAGAATTCTAAGCTATGCTGGCTGGGGAATTCTGGGAGTTGAAGTCCACAGGACTTAAAGTCACCAAGGTTGGGAGACACTGCAGTAGACTAAGAATGCACTCAAGACAATCGAGGCATTGGAAAGATTGAAGTCAGCTTGGATGGGGTTGCATATAAATACTGCTGTTCTTAAAGCGCTGCTAGACTCTAGCAGTCTTTAACCACAGAGCATTGAGAATTAGCTCCTGCAGCCCCAAACTTAAACCGAAAATATGAATATGATTTCTTGAAAACTGATAGGGGAAAACATCCTTTGGCTCCCATTAGCCAGCCGTAATCTTTATTGTGTACTACACCATGACTGACAAGCAACTGTAAATTGGTGCAATGGGAGAGCAGAACACACCATAAATATAATTAAGAAGATACTTGTCCTAAGATAACATGAACCACCCACTCCAAATTAGCATAAATATCAAAATTCGGAGCCACTTTTCAATTGCCTTATATGGGAGATATTCTGACACTTTCTTGGACCTTCTGCTTGAGAATTTGGAAATGATACTTATGGAATGACTCTTGGATGCCCAACAGAAGATTTTGATTTTGCTGATCTCCTTGAATAAAACAGGGGGAGCAATTCTTCCTTTGGACAGTGTTGAAATGATCCTCTGATAAGTAATCTGAGAATAGGATAGTGGTGTTTAATGATATTCATTGCAGACTACCCCTCGCTTAAAGGATAGATCAGGCCAGAAAGGACTTCGTATTGTAATTT